TAAAATATATATATTTATGAGCAAATATTTTAATAAATCATAATTAAAGTTATTAAGTCATAAAGCAAATCTTTGAGTCATTGGCCTTAAAGAGGAGGTAGAGAAAGACGTGGGGGTAGAAAGCTTATTCAAAAGGATAGTAAGAGAACATCCCAAACCTAGAGAAAGATATCAACATTCAGTTACAAGAAGTTTATAGAACACCAAGCATATTTAACCCAAAGAAGACTACCTCAAGGTGTCTGATAATTAAACTCGCAAAGGTCAAGGATAAAGAAAGAATCCTGAAAGCACCAAGAGAAAAAACAAATAACATACAAGGAAGCTCCAATACATGGGGGAGCCAACTTTCCAGTGGAAACCTTACAGGCCAGAAGAGAGTGGCATGACATATTTAAAGTGCCGAAGGAAAAAAACCCATTACCCTAGAATACCATATCTGGCAAAAATGTCCTTCAGACAGGAAGAAGAAATAAAGACCTTCCCAGACAAATAAAGCTGAGAGATTTCATCAACAGCAGACCTGTCCTACAAGAAATACTAAAGGGAGTTTTTCAATCTGAAATAAAAGATGTTAATGAGCAAGAAGAAATCATCTAAAGGTACAAAACTCACTGGTAATAGTAAGCACACAGAAAAACAGTATTATAATACTGTAATTATGGTAAGTTACTTTTAATTAAAGTAAATGATAAACCAATCAAAAATAACTACAACCACTTTTCAAGATATAGACAGTACAATAAGACATACAGAGGCTGGACACCATAGCTCTCACCTGTAGTCCCAGCTCTTTGGGAGGCCAAGGCAGGCAGAACACCTGAGGTCAGGAGTTTGAGACCAGCCTGGCCAACATGGTGAAACCCTGTCTCAGCAAAAATACAAAAAAAATTAGCTGGGCAAGGTGGTGGCCACCTGCTACTCAGGAAGCTGAGGCAGGAGAATTTTTTGAACCTGGGAGGTAGAGTTTACAGTGAGCTGAGATCATGTCACTGCACTCCAGCTTGGACAACAGAGCTAGATTCCATCTCAAAATAAAATAATAATAAATAATAAAAAAAACATAAACAGAAACAACAAAAAGTTAAAAAGCGCTGAGATGAAGGTAAAGTGTAGAGTTTTCATTAGTTTTCTTTTTGCTTTATGTTTTATTTATTCAATCAGTATTAAGATGACATCAGTTTATAATAATGAGTTATAAGCCTCACAGTAACCTCAAATCAAAAAACACACAATACTTGAGACTCTGTCTCAAAAAAAGAAAAGAAAAAACACACAGTGGATACAAAAAAAATAGAAGCAAGAAATTAAATCATACCACCAGCCAGCAGAGAAAATCACCTTCACTAAAAGCAAGACAAGAAGGAAAAAAAGAAAAAGAAAGAGAATACCATACAACAGTGAGAAAACAAGTAACACAATGGCAGCAGGAAGTCCCTACTTGGCAATAACATTGAATGTAAATGAACTAAACTCTCCAATACGAAGACATAGAATGGCTGAACGGATGAAAAAGCAAGGCCCAGTGATCTGTTGCCTACAAGAAACACACTTCACCTATAGAGATACACATAGACTGAAAATAAAGGGACAGAAAAAGCTACTCCATGCCAATGGAAACCAAAAAAGAGCAGGAGTAGCAATAGTGAGACAAAACAGATTTTAAGACAAAAAGTGTAAGAGGAGACAAAGAAGGCCATCCAGCAACAGAATATAATAATTGTAAGTCCATATGCACACACACTGGAGCACATAAAGCAAATGTTATTAGAGCTAGAGAGACAAACCTTAATGTGATAACACCTAGAGACTTTAGCAGCCCACTTCCAGCACTGGATGGACCTCCCAGATGGAAACCCAACAAGAAAACATTAGATTTAATCTGCACTATAGAATAAATGGATCTACTAGGCATTTACAGAACACTCTGTCCAAAGTCTGCAGAATACACACTCTTCTCCTCAGCACATGGATCATTCTCAAGGACAGACCATATGTTAGGTCACTAAGGAAGTCTTAAAACATTAGAAAAGCTGAAATAGTATCAAACATCTTCTCTGACAACAACAGAGTAAAAGTAGAATTCCACAATAAGAGTAATTCTAGAAACAATACAAACACGAGAAAATCAAACAGTATGTTCCTGAATGACCAGTGGTTCACTGAAGACATTAAGAAGGAAATTTGACTGGGCACCATAGCTCATGTCTGTAATCCCAGCATTCTGGGAGGCTGACGCAGGCAGATCACCTGAGGTCAGGAGTACAAGACCAGCCTGGTCAACATGGTGAAACCCCATCTCTACTAAAAATACAAAGATTAGCAGGGCATGGTGGCTGGTGCCTGTAATCCCAGCTCCTTGGGAGGCTGAGGCAAGAGAATCACTTGAACCCAGGAGGCAGATGTTGCAGTGAGCCAAGATGGCACCACTGCACTCCAGTCTGGGCAGAGCAAAACTCTGTCTCAAAAAA